AGCTGTAGGTCCTCTGATGTTTAGTTAATAAATGACTGATGTGGACATCCTGGAACTTTGCTCTCTTTTAAAACACAAGTTAGAAAAGTTGTGTCAAATTTTGTTGAGCGAATTTTAGACATTAGTAACATTGTAACTAGCGAGGCCTAAAACGCTGCACATCTACACTGTGTCACCAGCTGGATGCAGTTTGGACAACGTTAACATCAACAGACTGAATCTGTAAGCAACAGATTCATATCAGCGTAAAATTATAACTGCATGTGTTTCTTAATTTGGGAGAATAGTTGTGTTTGAGTTTTCATATCGTGGCATCCACCTGCTCTAGATGAGTTAAAGCGAATCACAACACGCCCACATCTACCAGACAGGACTGTAAAACACTGAACCCACACAGCTGACGACATATCTCTGACAGCTTTCTCCCAGGCTGTCAAACAACAGAGGAAAATTAAATCTGTCTTAATGTGAAGCAGCATCCTGTAAGTCGCTGTTTCTACAGATCATCTGTGGTTTAGTGATCGTGTCTTTGTGGTAGTCGTATGATTCTGACCTCACCAGCCTTCAGGACTGCAGCACATTTACAAGATGGACCTGCGTGCTCATGTTAATGTGCAGTCTCCCTTTTATTTAAAAGGCTACATGAAGTTAGCTTAAGGTTGAGTTACAGTTAGACGAAGTTTGGACTGATGTCCTCTGAAGCCATGGACACATGAGTGCGAGTGCTGGGAACAGCAGCGTGGGTCAGGATTAGCTTGTAGGGATGATTAAAACTCTTCTTGCAGACCATGTTAGACACTGTGAGTGTTCCTGGCTCAGAGTGGGTTTACAGGTGGCTGCAGTCCTTCATAGATACTGATTGTAACCTTTAATCCACTTTGTAAGTCTGAATGAATGAAGACAGTAGGTAGAGATGCTCCCTATAACCAGCTCCTTCATCTGGCTCTGTGCCGCTTCTCTACACACTTGGAAGATAAATTGGAAAGCCAATTAAAGCGGCACACTCGGCTGAGCTCAGTTCTTCTCGTCAACTCTTAACCTTTACTCAGGACAGTGTTTGCAGCAGGTAATGGCGTAGCGCTCAGTATCTCCCACATTCTGTGTATGTAACAGCAAACACGAGCTGCGTGCTGCTCTAACACAAACTCTTTCCCTTTCACAGGGTCTCATCAAAACGGCTTCCTCAGCGCGCTCAAAGACAGTCCTGCCAGATATCCTTTCACCGTTCCACGTCCGTGTCTACTTACACCTGGATTTTTCTTTAAGCAGTCACATTAATCACACATGTATCGTTGCTGTCTTTCATCTCATCAGTCGCTCTCGCTCTGCAGGCCTACTTGTTGTTCCAGAGTATTTAAAAGTAGAATGGGAGGCAGAGCCTTCAGTTTTCAGGCCCCTCTTCCAGTTTGGATTCAGGAAGCAGACACTATCTCTACTTTCAAGATTCAAACTGTATTTTAAAGCTTCTGGATCAGGTGACTCCGTTGGTTGTCTTTCTGAGGCTCAGGTTGCTCTGGGACTTCCCAGGATGCCGAGCGCTGCTCTGGCTGTTGGATCTGTTCTATATGAAATTCCTTGAGGTGAACGCTGTGGTGAACTGGCTCTGTATAAACCTGAATTTTCACAAACATTTATATTCCCAATGATTACTCTGATGTTACACATGCAGATTATTCCACAGGTCAGATTTATCTGCATGCCTTCCTCTGTTATTTTCTCCAGCTGCGTCTCTTGCATGACTTACATGCATCTGATTAGTCTTGTACTGCGGGGCTTACGCGGCACGCAGGACAGCGTCGCTCTTCAGCCTTGTCATGTGACTCAGACGGTGTGTGCGGGTGTTGTTACAGTTATTGTGTTTATTGTAACCACGTCTGGACTGTTGTAAGTCAGATAAAGTTGAGCAAAGAGGTTCATCGCAGCCTTTTAGCTGTGAACTGTTCACATGATGATTTGGAGTTAATGTGGCTGCTGCAGAAGGTTAGATGGCGCCAGCGCAGCCTCGCTTTTATTCGCTTTTTAATCATGAAGCAGCTCGTGACTACTTTGGCAGCCCTTTAATGCATTTTCTTCTGCTTTAAACACTTTGATGTCTTCTCTCACTTAAATACGGCGTGGAGTCGTGCGAGGTCAGGACTGATAAGCCCGTTCAGAGGTACAAATGAAGAGCAGCTCTAAATGATCCCGGTGCTCGGTGTACAACGCAAATCCGGTTCAGAGCATGGGCTGCCACGCCGCCGCTCTCTCGCTGCCCTTCTCTCTGCGATAACTTTCTGAGGCTGATAAAGTCTGCTGTCCTGCAGCGCTTTAATAAAGCTGAATTGCAGTCGATACTATCGCAGCAGGCCTTTGTGCTCGAAGAATGATGACATGCTTTGTCCTTGCTGAGGAGGAAGAGATTGGAGGAGAGAGAAGAAGAGCGTGAGGGCATTATGTTTCTGAGAGGATGCAGTATGATGCTAACCTACTGAGCATTTTCCAGCAGCCCTTCAGCCACTTAGTTATGGTGTCTGGGTATTTGTATGTGTCATCCTTGGAGGTGCACATTAAGAGTCAGCGGTGTTTGTTTGTGCGTGTATGTGGGGCGGGGAAATGAGCAGTACGAGCCAAACGAACTGTAACTGGGAAGTACTGGCGAGAGGAGGGCGGCCCTCAGGCTGTGGGTCAGTGTGCTCGCTGCTCGGCACCACCTCGGTGTTCGGGCTGGCTGCGTGGGTTGTGTGAGCTTTCATATTATCATCTGTCACTGCATCACCACAGCAGTTATTCCTTGACTTGTTTGTGTCACTGTGCTGGAGTTGGTGGTGTGTTTCTTCTCTGTGTGGTCCATCGTGGGCCTCTCAGGCTTCCATACCTACCTGATCAGCTCCAACCAGACCACCAATGAAGACGTGAGTATGGACACGAAGTGCATTACACCACACGTGCTGCAGAACGAATGTTCACGTGTGTCGTGTGCTAACAGACTCGATTTAAAGGGCGGCGACGCCATGAAATGTTATTTTCTAATTGTTTCAATTGAAATGGCACTAAAACCATTCGATCTTTTTATTGGTTCATTCACTCATTTTCAATTCGGTGCCAGCAACTGGAAAGTAGCGGGCACATCACACGGGAAGAGTTGTGATACTAAAGTGTCGAACCTGCTGCAGCGTCGAACTGCTCGTTAGTTTTAATATTAACGTGATTAGACTCAGTGGGGGAGGGGCTCCCACAGCAGCCCCGAGGCAGCGGATCAGCTTTACTGGCCGAGAGAAGAAGACGAGCCCGTTTTTGTACAACAACAGCGTCTTTATTCATCGTCATGTTCTACATCTGCCAAATCATTTCAATCAAAAGATTTTAAATATATTTAGCGGCGGGCTCACAGGGTTAGGCTTTGAATTTATACGTGAAAGACTTTTTCTTCATGTTGAAGCTGACTGAGCAGCTGCTTTGAGTTTTAGCCCAGGATGGTAACAGAGGCTCCGCCTCCATGTTAAAGTACACATGTGATCGCCTTTTCACCGTGGAGAAACAGAAGCTGAGTCTTTGAAAAGTTATTCACAGAGAACACGTTTCTATTTGTTGTCACAGATGTGAGGGAAACGCTCGTTCTTCCTGCAGTTTCCTCAACACTAAGCAAAGTTTCTTTATTTCATTTTCCTGAAACGGTTTCTTCAATTTTAAATTCTGATAGAAATGATCCAAAATATTGATGAGTTGTTTAAACCTGTTTGCTTCACAAGTAACATAAGGCCAGTAGCTCTATCGGGTCACTGAGTGCTCTGACTTCTGGACCAAATATTCATGGTAACAAAATTGATCATTTGGGATCGTTTCCAGTGGAGGAAAGAGGAGAGCGAACAGTTCAGGAGCCGACGCCGTGAGTGTGCGAATCAAACGTGTAAGGGCCTCATTAATGCTGAAGTGTGGGTGTGGCTTATTTCACATTCTGCAAAAATACAAAGTAAACATGTCCGCGTCCCAACTTTTTTCAGAAGCATATTCCCAGCTTTCCCATCAAATTCCAGCTCATCACATGTCGTTATTTTTTTACTGTTTCAGTGATTTTCAGGTTTTAATCAGAAATTCTGATTTGTTACTGTTTTGGAAAACGAGCTTTAAAGTCCTCAGTGACGTTGGGTCCTTGTTAGCCTGAAAATACACACTGATGTGTGCGTTTTAATCCTTTTAAAAGAAGCGTTTTTAATGGAGTTTCTGATTATTTGCTCATCTGTGTGGTGTGTGTTCATCAGCTGCACAGAAGGACTCACAACTTCTTTTCACTTCAGACTGTGAGCGAGCGGTGCTCGAGCTTCGCCGGTGAGCTCAGCTGATTCGAGAATGGCGATGATAATTTTCAAGGTCACAGAAGTGCGCACGGCCCGCTTGAGCTCCAGACTAGACACAAACAGCAGCGTCTGTTTATCGATGACACTTTGGATATTTATCTGTCTCACTGAAGCTTTGCATCTCTGCAGATAAAAGGTTCATGGTCATCTAAACGAGGGAAGGACAACTATAACCCCTACAGCTATGGAAACATATTCACCAACTGCTGCGCGGCGCTGTGTGGACCCCTGCCGCCGAGGTAGGCTGGGTGTTTGTGTTTCTGTGAGGCGATGCACTCGTTCCTCGATGGTCAGATGAGGACAAAGGGCCCATCGTTCCCTGCTCTGGGGGGAAAAGCCATCTCAGTGTCATCGTAGTTTCCCATTTTCTCCAAAGGCAAAAATAAAACTGTTACTCAGAAGTGTTTGATGTGAGGAGCTGCTGTGAAATGAGCCGCCTGCAGCCTTTTCTCTAAACATAGCAAAGATACCGCAAAGCATTTCAGGCCTATTTGAACCAAATCCGAGATCAAAGTTTCCCACATTGATTAGATTTTTAGACTTTTCTGCCCATGTGATCGAACAAAGACACAGAGCAGCTGTCAGCTCGTGTCTGTGCGGCTGCACGCTGCCCCCGGCGTCGTTCTTATGTCAGTTCCCCATCTGTATATGTCAAGATGCTGCTCCTTCATATGCATGTGGACAACCTTTAACTTATTACATGAAGGAACAACACAGCGAGTCATTACTTTAGTTTCCCATCGTACAACTCCACGTTCTGTCAAACACTTCATCCATGTTTTACTTTGAATATTACAAATTGTAGTTCTTGTCATATTTTTCTTCTAAAGGAGAGTGAAAGGTCTCCCCAGTTTACCACAGTCCACCTTTAAATACCGAACCTTTGAAAAGCTTAAAGACAAAGTGTCCTGAAAGCAAACTGTGCTCAATCATTTACATGAACAAAGATTATGTAGGTAAACAAATTCTGCCTGAAACAAGGAATCGGTAGTTTGATGAATTCTGTTTCCATTCCTCATTTGTTCTTCTTGCAGTTTTTCTCTGGTGCAGGTTTAACAGAGGTTTCAAAGTTTTCTCTGTGGTTGGTTTTAATGTTTCAGAAGATGGTCACTATTGTGCAAATTCATTACTTTACAAACCCGTCCCTGCCAGTGCCAGTTCTCATTACTCATCCGTGAGTCTGAAGTCGCCATTTCCTCTGATTTTTATGGCTTGGTGGTTAGAAATGAGGCGCCACCTTGGGTCGACTCTGTCAGAACAGCACAAATATCTTTTTATCCTGAGGAATTTGCAGCTTTTAACAATGCGTTTAAGAACCTGCAGAGTTCCTCAGTATATGCACATGTATAAGAACAGTGTGTTTGGCTGTTCTGTGCTTTTGCCGTCACGAGCTGTACATCTCCCATAACGGCTGCAGCGGGTGGCAAAGGAGAGTCCTCGGCTCACAGGTGGCTGCCATCTGGCTCTGTGTGTGTCTGTGTGTGTGGCCACAGGTGTCGCACAGCTGGCCTCACCTGCCTCTCGGACTCGGCGAGCTCAAACCCACAGAGACAAAAGCCTTTTGTGTTTTACTCCCTGCACAGATTCTCCACTCACACATCAAACTGCAGGTTTTTAATCCCAGCTCAGTCCTGCTGGAGCTCACCGTCAACACTTTGTGTTAAACTCTCATCGAGCTTGATGCCTCAGCTGTGTCCGATCGGCCTGTGTTTGGCTGATAAACAGCCCCCATCATCACACGGAGCCATCACTGTGCAAAGTTCAGCAGGTTCTTCTCTAAGCAGCAGAGCTGTGCAGCTTTAACCTTGGGTTGGAAATGATGGTTCACTCCACAGATGAGCGACTGTGCAGTCACAGTTAACAGAAAGTACGCCCTCATTCACTTCCAAGGTGCTGCATATCAGGACATAATACGATTAGCTGCTCTTAAAATGAGGTAAATACAACCTCAGGTGACACAGTACAGCCTCAGTAATTATTTAACAAAAACTGAGACATCCTCTCTGTAAGTAAGAGCCAGCAGTGTGAGCACTTTGATAAAAGCAGAAGTTTTGGTGGTTTGCTGATCTGAAGCATCCGAGCATGTCCGACTGTCAGCAGGGTGTCAGAGGGCAACGTGCCCGGAGCCACAGGGTGTGTGCACGAGGTCATCAGCAGGACGGTGATCCCACACACGGCAGCAACGGTCCAGTGAAAGTCCAACCTCAGAGAGCTGTGCATAAAACATGTCTGCACAACTGACTGAGAGCAACGCTGCAAAGAAAGAGGACAACACTGTCACAGAAAATCATTACTGCAGCCAAAGGTGTCGCCACAAGCTACTGAATCATGGGGCGGGCTCCGTTTTTCACAGGGCCGTTTGTTAAACGATGACACGCTGGAACGGGTCATGTGTTGTGCATCTGAGACTGTATTTAAATCATTTTAG